GAGAAAGGGCAAATTAAATTTAGCCTGACATAAATTTGCAAAAGTCAAAGAAAGTGGCAGCCTTACCAGTTGATTGGAGAGTTGGGGTGAAGAGTGTGACTGGGATAGAGTTGAGGAAATATGATATCAATTGGCAGTGCTGATCATAAATGTACAATAAATTAAACTAAAAACTCACAGCCAGAGAGATACATAAACATGCTAATGGATAGACATATACAAACACACACTCTACCATCAGTGACTTGATAACCAGGCTATAAAACAATAAAGAGGGAAAATGAGCAATAAACAGACAAAAATATAAAATTTTTGTCTTTCACTCTTTTTTCTGACATGTCTGGAAAATTTTTTTAAATGAATTTTTATTTTTATAGAATTATAAAATTTAACATTAAAATAGCAAACTGTCTTTTTTTCACTTTTATGCACAGAAATACTGTATTTATTTATGAACAAATCCGAAATATATAGGCCATCAAAAGATATAGTTAATTAACACGGTATCCCAGATACTGGAATAGTTTATTATTCTATTACTTTACATCTAAATATAAGTTCCTTGACATTCATCATTTTTGCAACTATTGTTCTTTGTAAATTTTTGTTTTGTTTCAACTTCAACATTTCTTGTATCAGTTTTTATTGCTTTTTTGGATTTAATGTTGCTTTCCATTCTCAAATATATCTTTTAATGAGAGATCACAAGTTAATAACTAGTGAAGCTGGAGGCTGTTTCATTAATTTGGTTTCTTTGAAACATTCTGGGCATTGTGAACAATAGTCAACTTTGTAGAATGTCAAGGAACATTGTTTTGCATATATATATATATATATATATATATATATATATATAAAAAGTGAACATAGAAGTCAACACTTAGAGGCGGCAGTCTGTTTCATGCTAGACACAATCGTCAGGCCACTTTTTATTATATATATATATATATATATATATATGTATACGCAAGTATAGGATTGGTGTATACAGAATAAATTCCAATAACCAAAAAATACTATTCTTAAAAGAGTGCTCAATACAGAGTAGAAGAAATATAATTATTTATTTAAAAATTATAACATAAATATGTAATGAAATCACTACAAAAATAGCCATTTTGTTTCAACACCTCTGGTGTCTTATCAAGTGATGATGTTGAATGTAGAATAAAGGGTTTTAAAAGGTTGGTTAATTAATTTGAACATAAATAATTATATATATATATATATATATATATATATACATATATATGTGTGTGTATTTATGTATTTATAACAATTCACCCCAAGCAAGGCAATAATGCCACTAAGGTGCAAAGAACTACTGGGAAATGAAAGAGAATGAAAAGCGAACTAGAAAGAGGGAACAAGAGATAAACGTTTAAATCAGTTAAAAAACTTAGGAGGAGTATGAGCCAGCTGATTGTTGAACCTGTCTACTCCTGTAGTAATTTCCAAGGAAATAATTGACTTTTTTTAGTTATAATCCATAATTATTTCTTATTGCTATATGACCAATTTAATAATAATTTCATAGTAATAAAAAAAAAAAATTCCTTTGAAATAACTTTGTCTGCATTTCAGATACAAACATTAGACTTAAAGGATATGGGTTTCAAAATATTTTTTTGATCATTTCACTTGAAGCAAAGCATTAAAGCCACTAAGACACAAAGGATTGCTGAGTGTGAAAGAATAAGAAAAAAAGAGAAACATTATTAAGTAGTGAGAAAATTAAAAGAATATTAATCAAGAGTAGAATAAAGTTGGCTGGAACAAAGTTCCATAAGTGAGAAGTGCAAGAGAAGAAACTGTTAGCATAGAATTTACAGTTACATCTAGATGCCAGCTCAACTGCAAACTGACGAAACTTTGTTGTCAATGCAGTGCCTGCTCTTAAATTCATAAAGCCTACGTACCAAAGCAAAGAGTTCTTCCAAGCAATTACCATGAAAGTATTTATAGAAAAGGTACAGGAAATCTATATTACATTGGTGGGAAAGTGACTAAAGCTGAGATACCAGATCAACATCAACAAATATGTTTGCCTGTATAAAAGTAAATAAGCCTTGTTTCACCGTGAAAGTCTTTCATGGCTGAGTGATCAAAAAGCATGCTTGGTTATACGAGAGTTTTCCTGATATAAGGGGAATGCAGGTTTGAATCCTGCCAATGGGCAAACTTTCTTTACTAAAGACTTGAAAATCAACACAGTTAGAGAACAATTTGTAGCAGTGACTTACCTCAGTGACAAAAGGACCAGTGTCACAAGTATGTTTTGCAAGAGAGTGTGGAGACGGCAATTCAGTGAGTTTCAGATGGTGAATCGGGCAGCACTTTGTGCAAATGGAAGTGGTAGTGTTGCTTGTAGCTATTTTTAATAGCTGGTTCTGGGTGCTCATTGGCTGAATGCTGGCTGGGTCAGGTGCATAAAATCATGGTACGCTCATTCAACAGAAGCTGGCTTTTAGCTTCTTACGGAATGTGGCATATTGGAGATCAAGATGAAACGAGATGAGACGAGAAGTGTGGATTTGTTTTGCCAAGTGAACCTATTGGACTTGTACTACCCTTCCCCCACCTTTTCTTTACCTGTGTGTGCTTCCAACCAATTTTTTCACACAATTACATTGTTTAAAAGAAGAGAAATATATATATATATATATATATATATATATACCCAAGTATAGGATTGGTGTATACAGAATAAATTCCAATAAGCAACAAATACTATTCTTAAGAAAGTGCCCAATACAGAGTAGAGCAAATATAATTATTTATTCAAAAATTATAACATAAAAATGTTATAAAATCACTACAAAAATAGCCATTTTGTTTCAACACTTCTGGTGTCGTATCAAGTGATGGTGTTGAATCACTTCATTGATTTTCTAACATTTTTATGGTATAATTTTAAAATAAACGATGACATATATATATATATATATATATATATATATATATATATATATATGTGTGTGAATGATACCTTGTATAAGTATTCATCCTCTTTGAATTTTCCACATTTTGTAGTATTACCAACCGGACTTAAACTGTATTTTTTTACCGTTAGATCAAAACAAAATACTCAGTGATTTGAGACCATCTTTGAAAACTAATTTTCAAGTTTTGCTTCAGATTCTCAATTGGATTTAGGTCCTGGCTTTGACAGAGCCATTCTAAAACCCATTAATCTACGTTGATCTATACCATTCCACTATAGCCCTGGCTGCTTGATTAGAGATATTGATTAGAGTAAAAGGGACAGAGATCCACCCTAAAAGGTGAATCTCTGTAACAGATTTTATTTGATGAGTGCTCTATATTTGGCATCATCTTCTTCCTATCAACTCTGACCAGCATCCCTGACTCTAAATAAAAGCATTCCCATCACATGATGCTTTATAATGGGGTTAGGATAATGACCAGCATTAGGTTTCCCTCATATGTACATTGCATTTGGGCCGAAATGTTCAAGTTTTGTCTCATCTGACCAGAGCACCTTCTTTTACATGTTTGTTGGGTTTTCTTGTGTGTCTTGGGGCAAAATGTAAGTGGGACTTCTTATGGCTTTCTTTCAAAATGGCTTTCTTCCTACATGACTAACAATTACTCTGTAGAGATGTCTAAAACATGAAATATTTTTATAACCTAATCCTGCTTTATACTTCTCCACAACTTTATCGCTGACTTTTCTGGTTAGCTCCTTGGCCTTCATAATGTTTTCCAAAAATGTCTGAGGATTTCAAAGAACACTTTTATTTAATTGGAGAGTGTAGAATCAATGATTATAAATCTTTTACAAGTCTTTCCTTTACTCAAAAGAAATCATCATAATCAGACGAAATGTATTTATTAATTATATCACTTGTGAAAGCAATTAGTTGCACTGGATTTTATACATCAATATGAAAAGACTGAAAAGTAGCAGCAGAGAAGCCAACAGCCCTGAAGAGTGAAGGCATTACAACAATACTTTCACAAAATTTTGAAGATGGCATGACAATGGCATGACAAGTTTCTCCATATTAATTCTATTAACACTCTATCCTTAACTTTTGTTATCAAGCAGTTTATAACAAAAGACTTAATGCATAAAATGCCTTTCCACTAGTAAATTTAAAGAACCAGCTATTTTGGAACCAAACACTCTCAAAATTTAATGCTCGCTCTCTCTCTCTCTCTCTCTATATATATATATATATATATATATATATATATTTGTGTGTGCATATATGCATATATATATATATATATATATATATATATATATATATATATATATAGTACTGCTGGGGACTTTCTGAACCTCCACATATAATCATTCTTATTGTGAAAATATTTAAAATAAGTTTATTAAATGTGCATCCAAACAACAAGAAGACAAAAAAATGAATATATTTTAATTATTTTAATTATTTTAATTATTTTAATTATTTATTAAAAAAATTTATAGACACACACACACACACACACATATATATATATATATATATATATATATATATATATATATGAATATATATATAAATCCCAGTAAATATATATACTAGTAAATATAGGATGAATTACACACACACACGCATATATATATATATATATATATATATATATATTATTGCCTGCTTAATATATTTATACAAAGATTTAGAGAAATGTTTAATAATTTTATACAGATGTATGAGTGTATGTATGTTTGCATAAACCATTAGATATATGTATGTATGTGTTTGTGTGTATATATATATATATGTGTGTCTGTATGTGTGTGTGCATGTGTGTGTAAATACAAAAATATGTGGATGGATATCATGAAATTAATTTATAATAATTTTTTAAATGGAATCATTCTGACATTTGTTACTGAATAAATTAATGTGACTAAAAAAACCGATTCAATCATGAGGAAGCAATTAAGAAGATCTTTTCTTTTCTATGAGAGATCCGCATCAAACAGATATGAATTCGCTCTTGATACATATATGAATTATATTAATGCTTCAGATAGATAGATAAATAGACATCATTTTCTCTCTTGATTGATAGATAGATAGATAGATAGATAGATATGAATAGACTGAGATTGATAGATGGATGGATAGATAGATTCTCTCTTGAACATGAGGAAGCAAGATCTTTTCTTTCTTATGAGAGATGACAAAAGATATCAATTCTCTCTTGATAGATATATGAACTATATTCCTGCTTCAGATAGATAGCCAGACAGACAGATAGGCAGATATATAGATTGATAAATATGAAGAAACTGAGATAGATATAAACAGACTGAGATAGATAGATAGATAGATAGATAGATAGATAGAAAAATTAACAAACTGAAATATGTATAAACAGACTGAGATGGATATATATATATATATATATATATATATATATATATATATATATATATATATAAAAAAAAGAAAGAACAGTAAGATATATAATCCGGTGTTCTTATAGATAGTTTTATTTTTACAAAATAATGCTCAGTGTAAATTTACAGAGCATTAATATTATAAATTAATTGATTTAAAATATGTTTTTTTTTCGCTATATATATATTGAAGTGAACACTTAGAGGTGACAGTCTGTTTCATGCTGGATGCAATCATCAGGACAATTGTGGCCTGACGATTCTATCTAGCATGAAACAGCCTTTCACCTCTAAGTGATTACTTCTATGTTCACTTTTATATTTACACACGCTCTATCTCTGATATTGAGCACTTTATGCCATAAATATAGCACACCTTAAGATTATGTTCCTTCATATATATATATATATATATATATATATATATATATATATATATAGAAAGATATGAGTAGACCAAGATAAATATAGACTGAGATATATACATATATATAAATATGAACAGACTAAGATAAAGATAAAATAGATAGATAGATAGATAGATAGATATGAACCTATATAGATAATGAATAAATTAAGATAGATAGATAGATAGATATGAAACACCTGTGATAATGAACAAAACAAGGTATATATATATGAACCAAGTGAGAAAATGATCAAATTTAGATAAATATGAATTCATGCTGAATCTGAATAGATCAAAATAAAAAAAGCAAATGAGTCATTATCCATAGATTATGAATATGAACCAATGAAATTAACTAAACACTGATTTTTTTTCCTATACTTGATAGATTGATAAACAGAATTAAATATTAATGGCAGCTAGATGAATTGACACATATACTAAACAGAATCGACTAATAGAAATAGAATGAAAAATATTTAGATTTAGATATTTATGGCCAGGAGGAATTACAAATTCTCAAAGTAGACAATTCTACTGATTCACTTACATCAGGAGGAGTGAGTTGGACTAGATACAAAATCCCTTTACACCAAGTCTCAGCTGAAAAATACCTAAATCTCTTAAAATCTCCTAAAAATGCATAACTCCCTACCAACAACTAAACTAATAAAAATTTGCCAATGCTAGTTTGCATTTCATAATGATTTTTACAAACAAAAATTTGGATTACCAATGGGATCTCCTCTCATGGGAGTGATGGAAGTATCTTCTTAGAATTTCTTGAATCTGGTCCTTTTGAAAATATTTTACCCAAACACTCACATACTTCCATTATATTGATGATGATCTATTAATATATCCTTGTGATACTGATTTACTAGATAAACTAAACAAAATTGAACATACAATAGAATTTACATATGAAATGGAAGAATACAATTCCTTACCTTTCCTAGATATCAAGCTACACCATGTTAACAATATTTTAAAACTGGATGTCCGCTGGAAATCAAACAACAAAAAAGATGTAATAAATTTCTATTCTTATCATAACAACAAAATAAAATCTGTTATAATCATGAGATTCTACTTAAGAGCACTAAGAATTTGCATCCCTCAGTATTTACATGAAGAAGAGAAATGCATTGAAAACAGCTTCAAATTTCTCCAATACCCTAATTATTTTATATTGAATGTGAAAAAAATATTCCAAAACATAAAAAAACACCCCTCCTGACAAAACCATTGAATCAAAAGAATATATTATCATACCAACTAACTCTAACACAGCTACAATTGAAAAGAATCTATCTAAATTTGACATAACATTTGTTACTATTACATCTAAAACAATAAAAGACTTAGTCAATACCAAACAGAATAATAAGCTAAAACTTGAAGGAGGAATTTACTCAATTGCCGGTAATAATTGTCACAAAAATACACAAGAGAAACCTCAAAGAATCTAAATAAAAGATATGAACACAAAAGAGACATTTTATAAAACACTACATCAAATGCATTGGTTGCTTTTTGTGACAAGACTGACCACAATTTTGACATAAAAATTGTTACTCTGATCAAAGAAGAACACAATTCACTATGATGGAAATGTCTATAGTGTGCCTTGATCGCAAGTTTATCTACAGTAAATTTATGTCCTGTCTTTTACAACATTTCACAATTCTTGGCAGAACTTCTATTATCACAGTGTCGGATATCTACTAACAAAAGTGATGGATAGAAAAAGAATATAAATAAAATCAGCTAAAAAAAAAGAAAAAAAAAATTTTAATTTTAAAAATTAAAATTCCCAGTATCCCACATTCATGCACATGTTTAGTTGCACCAACATAAACAAATTTAGTCTAATGAACTCTTAAAGGACGATATGTGTCACAAGAAAGCTTTTCCACTTTGTCATACATTTTTCACCAATATTGTTCTTGATGTATAAATATATATATTATATATATATATATATATATATATATATATATATATATATATATATATATATATTGTGTCTTTGATTTTAAGGTGGACTGTTTCTTGTTTTTATTGAGGTCACACTCTTCATATCACCTGAAGGTTCTAGAGTCCTTGTATATCAGATCCCATGGGCCTTCCCTCTGTAAACAGAAGGAATGCTTACTGGATTTGAATGTTATCGGACTCTAGCTTTCTTATTTTTTTTCCCTGTATTGGTTATCATTAATATCAATTAAATTTACATGTTATCTATTTTTATATCCCTGAAATATTCTTGATATATATATATATATATAATATATATATATATATAGAGAGAGAGAGAGATAGCAAGGAGAGACAGAGAGAAAACAAATACAAAATTTCTCACTTATCAGTCAGTTTAGTGACAAATTTTACATTTGTATTAATTCTATTAATGCTGTCTCTGATATTGAGCATTTTATTGCAAGGATTGCTTGCCTTAAATGTCCTTTCTTATGAAGAAATAATCAAATAAAAATAAATACATTCATGATCAAAGCAATAAATATAAAACATTAGCACAAGTAAAAAACACTTTCCACTTCCCATAATCTCCCAAACAAAATATATATATATAGTAGGCCTACACAAAGAGAAGTAACAGAGTGTCTGACGATCACTTAATCAAAAAATCACATACATTAGTCTTGATTTCTATGTTGATACAGTTATATATAAGAACATCTCTTTTTAATGCTAAATATCTTTCATTTCTATTTCCTCTAAACCTTCAGAATTAGTCACATGTTCACTCCATGGTATTCTCAGCATCCTTCTGCAGAACCACTTGTGAACTCAGTCGAATACTCAAGCCTACTCAGTTTATGAGTTATGCTTGTGAACTCAGTCTATTACTCAAACATACTCAGTCTATGAGTTATGCCTGTGAACTCAGTCTATTACTCAAACATACTCAGTCAAAAAGCATACTTTTTGTTCTTTCCAGTTTTGTTTCTTTGTATTGACTGGAATTTTTAAAACATAACTGTTTTACAAATTTTTATAAACTTTGCTGTTCTTTTTTTGAAGAGCAAATATTTGCCTTGGTGAATAGTTACACTTATCTATCTGTGAATTTTTCATTATCTACTGATATTGTTTGTTGTTTAAAATATGCTTCTTTTGTGTAGTAGATGCTAAGAAAACTACAGGTTCTCCTCGACAATATAGTCAAGGAAAGTAGTAAGAAAGGACTAAGCATTAATTGTATGAAGGCTGAATGTATAGTCATTAGTAAGAGAAAATGTCCAAGATGCAAGGGATAATTTGGTGATGCCAAAAGAAAGCATCTACTGAAACATAAATTTCTGGGATATTTTGTAAGAGAGAACAGAAGATATGACACCAAAATATGAATGTACACCGGAACAGACGGCTTCTAAAATATTGAAGAATATATTAAGAAACAAGAACTGTTGTATCGTATTCATATTCCTGTATTTCAATGAATGCTGAACAGTTTACCCACAACCAAAATAGAGATCTGAAGCAGCAGATAAGTGACCCTACAGAAGGATGCTGAGAATATCGTAGCCAGAGCTTGAAAACAATGAGGAAGTTTTAAGGAAAAAAGGACACAAGTTCTTACAATCAAAAAAAGCCATTTTTGAATTTTTGGGACACATATTTAGGAAAGAGGGCTTAGAGATTTTGAAACTCAAACAACATTAAAAGCAAGAGGGACCAAGGAAAATATTGACAGTTTCCACACAGATAAAGAGAGAACATTTGAGACAATAGATGTGATTCTACAGAAGGATGCTAAGAATACCTGGGTTGGATTATATGAGCAACAGGGTTTTAAGGAATATGTAAAAAAAAAGGACATATTACAAAGAAAGAGGTCTTGGAAAATATAACACTGAAAGGAAATACTGAAGTAAGAGAGAAAAAACAAATAACCTACCACTTGAGCTTGTATAAATAGATGGCAGAAGAGGAAGTGAGATTCATATTAAAAAGACAAAGATTGCTAAGAGTTACAGATGATAGGAGGTTGTGGAGGGCCATGATTGCCCACATCCCAAAGAGACACAGTACAAAAAAGAAGTTAAGACTCAAGCTCAGATAAATACCAATATTTTAGTTAAATGGTTTTCAAGGCAGATAAAACCTCCAGATTTTAAAAACTCGGGTAACTCATTCTTCTTTGGCTACATTTGTCTACTTCTAAAAGCTTCAAGACATCATCACCATCGTTATCATTACCACCATCATTATTATCATCATCACCACCACCACCACCCATCATCATTATCATCATCGATAGCACTGCCACTACCACCACCACCATCATCATCATTATCATCATCACACAATATCTGGGTTGAAAGCCAGAAGTGTATTCATATGTGGCATGTCTTGAGCAAGTAGATCTACTCATTCCTCTCCAGGTCAAAATTTGGCCAATGACCTCCAGCTTGAAGACTTACCTTGTTCAAACACATATGACAATTGTTTCCAGTGGGGGAAATCCTCTTCCCTATCTGCTGATTTCAATCCAAGAACTCCTCTCTCTGGCAAAGCTATGTCATCACCATACTGACTGGTATGGAACCAGTTGATCGTATTATGTTACATGCCCATTGACACTACAAAAATGTTCATTCCTCCTTTGACAGCTTTGATTTTGAATCCTGCTTTGTGTGTCTAGCCACACTCCTCATTAGAAAAGACTGGTGGGGAAACTGGTTTATTCACTGATGATCTGACCATGCACCTTGTGTGTTGTCAATGCTTATAATTGTATCTTTTTGAGAGAAAGTTCTCATCATCTCTTGCTACTTAGAGTCAAGTTAGCTTCAGATCAGAGAGCAAGGTAGATGGTTGATTGGGCACAGAAAACTAATGTCATGTTTCACCTGTTGGGAAAAAAAAATCACGGATTTTCACAGAAAATAAAAAGATACCAGTAGGACGTCAAAATCCACAAAAAGTTTTTATCCTTAAATAATGAGTTGTGCTTAGTTTAATTTGTAACATATATAAATGAAGTTAGAAAAAAGTCAATGCTGATAGATAGTAAAAGTTGCAAAGCACTGTGTGGGGGTACCAAATCAGGCTTGGTCTCCGCCCCGCCTCCGGTCAGTGGTTTTGTGGGTAGTACGTGCCGGCCATGTATCTGACAATAACTATACTGTTACTTCTGCCGATTAATCAAAGTCAATGTGAATATGTG